GCAATATTTTTCTATTCTATTCTATTCTATTCTATATTCTATTCTATTGTATTGTATTCTGTTCTATTCTTCATTGCAATATTTTTCTTTTCTATTCTATTCTATATTCTATTCTATTCTATTCTATATTATATTCTATTCTATAGTCTATTGTATTCTATTCTATTCTAATTCTATTCTATTCTGTTCCTATTATTTCTATTTCTATTCTACCACAGGCCTCCCTTCCACCAGAGGGGGTCAACGAGGACCTTCCAAGTTGCAACACAAAATCCTGGATTTTTGTTTCAGGATCCAGCAAAACTCCAGTCTTGGGAGCCTTGATAGACCCTCCATGCAGGTCGCAGGTGGGCTTCTTGGGGTGCCCGGTTCCTAAAAGAGACCTCCTGCCTAATAGATCAGTAGCTCTAGGCCTTCAGGGAGGTCCCACAAATTGGGGGAAAACACCTTTTTTTTTTTTTTTTGGCTCCCTCTGCTCTCTTTTATCTCATGCCAATCATGTCGGACAGACCCCTCAAACACAGGCAGAAATCCAAGCGGTGCGCTCTCTGCGAGGCGGCCTTTCCTGGGGCTGCGGAGGGGGACCTGTGTCCTCGCTGCTCCCTGCAGCCTCTTAGCACCCCCAGCTCGGCATCAGGGGGCTTAGAGTCCCAATGGCGGGACCCCAGGGCCCCTTCCCCCTCCGCTAGCTCAGGGGAGGACCCCAAAGATCCAGATGTGGAAGAAGAGAAGGAGGACTGGGAGAGCCGAAAGGTGGACTGGGTGAGTTTTGAGCTGTCGCTCCTTTATTTTATTTTATTATTTTTAGTTTACGGCCTTGGCTCAAATCTCGTCTGCAGGATGTCATGTATTCTTTGTTTGTTTGTTTTTCATTCTGAGCCCCCAAAACAGGCTTTTAATGCAGGCTCAAAAGCCGAGCTCGGAGAGACTATGGAGATTCTCCATCCTCCAAGTCATAGTTGTCCCAAAGGTGCTTTTTTTAATGCCCAAGAGACAACTGAACCTTCTAGTTTTTCTTTTGAAGACGTTTCGCTTCTCATCCAAGAAGCTTCTTCAGTTCTGACTGGATGGATGGTGGGGAAGGGAAGGATTTATCTTCCTTGCGGACAGCTGGTCATTTGCATCCTTTTAGAGGGTCGTTGAGGCCACTTGGAGGTTTGTCTGTGTCCTCAGGGTCACCTGAGTGGTGCAAATGGGTGTAGAGCCTCTTTTGGAACTGCTGAAAGGACCGTGTTGTGGACAGGAGATGGGTGATGTCGTTATCCCTTTCCTGTCTGTTGAGAAAGGACTATTCAATTTGGAGATAGATGGCCTCTTGGACTCTTCTTTCAAACCAGCGGTCCTCTCTGTCCAAAATGTGGGACTTTGCTGCCTTCAAAAGAGCGGCCTTTTTTCTTTTAAATGCATATGGACTGCTGAATCTTGTCTGCAAGGAGTATAAATCCTTCCATTTCCCACCATCCGGTCAGAGCTGAAGAAGCTTCTTCGAGGAGAAGGAAAACGTTTAAAAAAAAAAAAAATCCAGAAAGTCCAGTTTAGTGCCTCTTGCAAAAAAATAAAAATAAAAGCACTTCTGAGCTCTGAAAATTGATCCTTTCTGTTCCCATGGTGTAACTACAGGTCATCCTCGACTTACAACCGTTCAAAGTGACAACGGCACTGAAAAATGACTGATGACCGTTTTCCACACTTATGACCATTTCAGAACGGTCACGAATCAAAATTCAGATGCTTGGCAACTGGCATGTCTTTATGCCAGTGGTAGTGTCCACAGGTTATGTTTTTGCGATCTTCCGACAAGCAAAGTCAATGGGGAAGCCAGATTCAATTTAACAACCATGTTACGAACAATTCACTTAACAACTGTGGTAAGAAAGGTCATAAAATGGAGTACAACTCACTTAACCACTGTCCTGAATGGCAAAGGAAATTTGGAGCTCAATTGTGGTTGTACCTTGAGGACTACTGCACCTCAAACTCCTTGCCTGAATTTTGCACAAGTATGCAATAATACTTTTTTTTTAAAAGGAAAGATTGGGACTTATGCAAGTAATTAAAAGGTTCCTTCTGTATCCCTTCCCCCACATCCATCAATGCATGGCGGGTAAAATACTGTAGCTTGAACATGGATTCTGTTCCAAAGCACACTTCAATTACATTCGTATCTCTTTGATGTAATTAATGATGATATTTACTGGAGGACTTTGGTGTGATGCATTTTGGAAAAGATGCATTGATCCAAAACATATTTTTTGCATGCAAACAATCTGAGATTTGGTTTCTGGCACTCTGTCCGGTAAAAACGGATCTGAAAAAGCTCTTTGCCTACAGATCACTGAACTATCCCGGAATGTGATGGTTATTTTTACTGCATTTACCATTAGATCCTGCATATCTGGCTGCCTGATATTTGTACTGAGTGCATCTAAATTTAATTGCATTCACACTTTTTTATTATAATTAGTTATTATCATTAGTAAATGTGCTTCTTGCATATAGATGCATTAAAAGGCATAGTCAATATCTGGATAAAGTTTTTAAGAAATCAAGTATACATTTTCTCTCCACTTATACAATTACTTGGTTTTGATTGTAGTGACTGCTAACATTCCACTTGTCCCAAAAATAAATGTTGAAGGAGACGTTAGCAGGACTCTTTGTCAGCAGTAGCTGTGAAAATCTTCAAGAAATCCACCTTTTAAATCCGGATGCCAAAATGATACAAAACAATCTTCATGCTGTTTTTTAAAGAAGCATAATTGATAAATGTATATATTATTGCTTGAAGGGTTATCGTGGAAGTAATAAATAAATTTACTGTTGATTTCAAAAATATTTTTTAAAGCCCCAATTGTTTCAAAGGGACTCATGTTGATCACAGGCTGTTTGGAATGCTTTAGTTTAAAATTTCCAAGCTGAACTGCAGAGGTGCTTATTTATCTTATCTGCAAAAACTCGAGGTGGAAAATGTTGTTGATTTTAAAATGAGCTTTTTCCATTAGGGAATAAGAAGAGCGACATTTTGGAATGAACAAAGTCATGGTCATTCTAGGAAAAACCTTATTCTAAATAATTATATTATTTATCTACAACCAGAATAACAGTTGGAAGGAATCTTGGAGGTCTTCTAGTTGAACCCCTGCTCAACCCTGGTTGCCAGGGAGATTGACTATAATTCTTATTATAGCAAATAAAATGCAGAAAGGGAAGCCTTCACATGCTGCCCAGAACCACGATTTCCTTAACCACAGTTAGTTGCAAATTGAGTTTCCAGCCAACTGCAACCTGGTGCCTTCCCGATGCCATTGCAATAGACCAAGGGTCTTTCAAACTTGGCAAGTTTAAGATTTGTGGACTTCAACTCCCAGAATTCCTGAGCTAACATGACTGGAGGAGGAATTCTGGGAGTTGAAGTCCACAAGTCTTCAAGCGGTCAAGTTGGAAGACCCCTGCGAATAGACACTGGAGGAAACCAGATTGGGGAAGGCTCTTCCATGAGTGGGAGGCGACTTGCGGTTTGCACAGCCCCACGGCTGGCTGGGGATGATGGGGGTGGGAACTTGGAAGCCCTCCACAATTAGAAAACCTTCTAATAGGGAAGGCAAAACCAAAACCAGTTTCCAGCGGAACCTCCGGGTGGGAGGACGCCGTTTCCGCCCGGGATCTGCGCCAGCGGCGGTCCCTTCCGGTCGGGTCCGTCCGGAAGCACTTCCGGTTCAGCCCAGCCCCGTTGGCAAAAGAGTCGGGCGTGAGCAGCCGAGGAGGGACGTCGCGCAGGACAGGTGGGGAGGGGCCGTCGCCCCGGGGTGGGGGGCAATAGGAGGAGAATCAGAGCCGGTTGTGAGGGTCCTGCTCTGTTTTGGGGCGGCAGCAGGAAGCGGGGGGGGGGGGGGGGGGGGGGGGGGGAGGGGGGGGGAGGGGACAGGCCAGGAGCCGGGGGGGGGGGGGGGGCTGGGCAAGGGGAGGGGGGGTTGTGGCCCCCAGGGATGTTGCATCTGAATTTGGGAGGGATCCAAAGTGGGAGGGGGTGGGGAGGACAGGTGCAAGCCCTCGGGGGGGGGGG